AGAGATAAGAAAATTGAAGCTCAAAAAGGTAATTCTAATATGAGTGATGGAATCAAAACCCTACCAGATCTGTCTACCCCTAGTCACTATCTGTGGACATCTAAGCTTTGTGGAAGCTGACTGAATGACAAAGTAGAAAAGGTGCTCTGGTAAATGTTAAATGAAATCCTACGCAACTATTAGAATTGTAAAGGTGGTTCTGCTAACAAATCCATATAAAGTTACAATGCTGCCTCTGACTGAGGACCGTTCATAACTTGTCATGTTACATCCTTCTCCAACAATCATGTGAGGTAAACATTTCTATAATAGACTTGAGGGGTAAGTAAGCCCTATGTTCACAAGCATCACACTGAATGTTACACACAGCCATGAAGTAGACAGAGGTCATCCAATAAGTAGAACCTTTGCTTCTTAGTCTGCACTAAAGAAAACCACAGAAAAAACATTCTGATCTCTGCTTTAGAACAAGTAATTTCACATTTAATTCACAATAGTATTCATTTAAACCAAGCTAAAGATAGTCATTTTTGTGTTTTTCTAAAATGTTTTTAATTGAGTTTCAACTAGACTTTGTCTTTACAAATGAATGGTACCTCAGGACTTAACATTTTCAATCTGTCAGCAATGAAAAGGTTAAACTTAAGAGTAACACCCAGATGGATAGCTGTCTCCCTCAACCATCAAAGGAGTGTGGGGAGGGGGGAGGAGGTCACAGTCAGTTACTCCCGTTATACCAGCACTCACTGGAACATCTGTAAGCACACAAACACTCTACCCTTCAGCCTTCAGCTTGCCACAGTCAAACAAAACAGTCAGTGACTCCTCCCCAAGTGCAGAGCTTAATTCCTGGCTTGGCGAAAGAATTCAGAGAGGGATAAGCAGCCCTTCTGGCCTTCAGGTAGGTCCAATACCTTCATTTCTAGAAAAGATAAAAAACGGGAGCCTATGTTGATAAACTTTAAGGGGCTGCTGATGCCACACTAAAGCACTATGTTGGCTACAGGTGGGCAGGGTATCTGGGTAGGGAAGACATGCCATAGATTTAGAAGGTATGGTTCTGGTATCCAGCTACTGCAATGACTAATTCCTTTGGGGCACTATTATTAATCTTGCTATATAAATGACCCTCTGGCATCTATGTGGGAAGAAAGGCCTAGTCCTGGTGTCAACGCCAGCAGAAATCAAATAACATGTGCCTCAAACCTGATTAACCATGCAAAGCACTATTAATTCACGACACGATACGTAGCTGCAGTACATGGGGATACTTGCTATTTTGGAGTCAGGAAACATAAGCAATGCTGATCCGTAGGACTGAATGCTTCAGAGAATACTATCTGTCTTTGGAGAGAAAGTCAGTTCAGACACAGGAAACTACAAACCCAGACCTCACACCATCAGTTCCCTTCTGATACTCAACTATGCCCTTGCTTCAAAGTAAGTTAAGTGAAAACTGCCCTGCTGTGGAATGCTAGCCCAGGGCTGAGGACAGGGCTCTCAGGGTGTTGGCCCTGTATTTCTTCCTTTTAAAAAGCATCTTTAATGTGTTGACTTTGAAATTTCCCTCAGTTGAAGCTGTCTTTTTTTTTTTTTGTCTATTTAAAGAAAACTTTCAATGGGTTATTTTAGATCTAACATAATTTTAAACAATTTTTAAAACCCTAGATGTAACCAATATAGTTATATTAAAACCATGGAAAAGATATACTCTTCAACTCCAGTGAAAATATATTCCAGCCCATAAAACAAACTTTCAACAACTCAATGTGTCAAAAATGCTAAAATACATCCAATGTTTCTATGATTTAAATACATAAATTGTCTGACTAAAATGGGTCACCTAAGACTTAAATGAGCAAACACTTGTCTCTGTTCCAAGAGGAGACAATGTAGCTCCCTTTATTGTTTTTAGGGCTCCAAGTTTATTAAAAAGTGTATTAGGGCTCCAAGTTTATTACAAAAATGGACAATCTTCCCTGTGCATTGTCTGAGAACATGCCTCTATTTAATCTATAATAATCCAAAACCCCTAAGACATGATATAGCAGGCTACAATTTAGGCTGTTGGGGGCGGGGCAGGTTAACTCCTTGGGATCTGGAATCCATTGCCCCTTGTATAGAACAAGCAGTTCTATAATTCTATACTGGTTTTTGTGGGTATTAGAAATGAAACTTCAAACTCAGTGCTGCCTTTGCCCAAAATGGGGTAAATGTCTAAAAATAATCATTCTGCATGGAGAGTGTCACCGCCTAGAGCACCCACAGTTTTCACTTACTGGATTAGGGGTCAACTCTTTATCTTAGTACCTATGGGCAGAATGTTCCCAGTTGATAGAAGATCCTCTCTTATGTATATGTGACCAGCCCAGGAATGAATTAAACATTTTCCCAAGTTATTTCAGAAACAGAGCCAAGCTGCTGGATCTACAGACAACCACAGTCTGAGGAAATGGGAGGCTTGCCTTCATAGCTGCAGAAATACTCTCTCTCAGGCACCATCTCCTCAAGGGACTTAACCCACGAAAGAATATTAATGGATCACATATTGAGGATTCTCTAGCTGTAAGAGATTGCTTAGCAATTAATGACATATAAACTCTAGAGGTTCTTCAGGCCAGAAAACATATATGATAAAGCAATCACAAGTATTACATGGCTCAAGAAGCATTTGCAGGGGGAACAGAAATATAGTGGCCAGTAACATTTGCTGACTAATTTATGTACACCAGTCATTGTGCCTTATAATTTGCATGCTCTAGCTGACTTCACAAAGCAGTCCAATGAATAGCTAATAATATTATCCCAATTTACAGGTAAAAGAGAGAAAATAAGTTGCTGAGGATGATCACAGACACAAAGTGGTAGCATCCCACATTTAGCCTTGTAAAACCCAACTCTGGATCTTGCATACACAGTGATGGATATGCACAGTGACAAGAAAGAAATGCCCTGTTTTGTTATCTACACTTTGTCACCAATACCTTTGCCTTATACATTTATCCAACTATCATTAGCTCAAAGGTTTATCACTTGTACCACCCCCTCTGCTACTCATAGAATATCTTGAAAGAACGGAGGGAGCTGGAAGAATGTAAAGAGTCAGAAGACAGAGAGGCTTTGAAATGCTATCTTTAAGATGGCACAACCATTGCAATCATGAACTCACTGTTGCTATGGATACCTAGACTGGACCTGCACAATGACAGGCAGTCATTGGTTGGAGGAGAGTACATGAAGCCCTACCCCACTCTGCTGCACAACTGACTGCTGATAGATTTCGGGAGGGAGAGGGAGAAGGGGAGAGGGAGAGGGGGACAGGAAGAGGGAGAGAGGGGGAGGGAGAGGGGGGGAAAGGGAGAGGGGGGGGGGCGAGGGGAGAAGGGGAGTGGGGGAAGGGAGACGGGTAGGGGTAGAGGGGAGAAGGGGAGAGGGAAAAAGGGAGAGAGGGAGAGGGA